TATCTGTCAGTCAATGTGTCTAATCCCAGAAAGAGATTCTGTCAAGTTATTGGTAAAAAAGCTTGTCAATTTCACTAAAGCAGGAACCATGAACTAGTTGGCCAGAGCATTACTTAATGTTGCTTGATTTTTACTGGCTTTAGAAAAAAACAGTCAAAGTATATGGTCTTAAATTATTGACATCTGGAACAGAAAGTGATTTGAGTATGGCTGCATGATAATCTCTACTTCTCCAATCCTGTGGAAATACACTTGATTATAAAGAACGTTTCAGAGCAGGAATAAAGGATAGAGCAATCAGGCTCATTAGCAACAACAACAACAACAACAAAATTACATTTATAGAGCGCCTCTCACGTCGGGAGGTCGTCCCAAAGCGCTGAACAGTCAGGTGTCAGGGCCCGAGCATGGGGGAGGGGGGGTGTAGGGGTGAGGGAAGGCAGAGAGGTGGGAGGGTGACCAAAGGCTCGAAGAGAAGAGAAGGGTCATGAGACCGGCCTTGAAGGAGGCAAGGGAGGAAGCGAGGTAGGGCAGGTCGGGCGGGAGACATGGAACAATGAAGATGTCTGGGACTGAGGGGATGGGGGAATCTAAAAGTCTTTATCCTGGACATTTGATGCAAGCAGCGCTCCATTTCTGAGCCAACTGGGTTAAATGGAAACATATGAAGTATGAGGTTGACCATAAATTCAGATAGATGTCTATTGCATTGTAATATCATCAATGACGAGGAGAGGAACATGCCCCAGTTCAAACTTCTTCAAATATGGGTGCTCTTCATAGACGTCTTTTAAGATGTCAGAGGGGACCTTATAGAAATATGTAACATTTTAAATGGGATTGAAAAAGTAAACCCAGAACCATCCTTGAGGATGTACCAAGACAGTACAGCCAAGATGACACAGGTTTAGGGTTGCAAGGAGCGATTTCAGGACAGATACCAGGAAGAGTTTCTTTATCCAGTGGGTAATTAATGACTAGAATAGGTTAGCAGGACGAATGGTTGAGACCACAACACTGGACTCATTTAAAAAGCAGCTTGATCTTATGATATTAGGATGATAACATGGGATCAGATGGGCCAAACTAATCTTATAATCTTGTAATTACCCCCCTTCCCCCATCATTGGTAAAAAAAAATTCAATCATAAACTCTTGCTTTGCTAAATTCTTTACAATGCCTGTCTAAACTGATCTGATAAATGATGCTTTATTGCCAATCAGTTCCTTCTTCGTTGGGAACGTTTTGTTTGCCTCCGGACAGGTCAAAGTGCTTCACAGATTATCTCACATCTTTTGGGAGCAATGATCTCTCCTGTTTGTATCCCGCTAACGACCACTGTTTCCCGCAAACCTGTCCTCAATTATTTCCTTTTGAACCTCTTTCTCCTCAATGTGTGGCCATTGCAGTGCTAAGCCCCAGAAGGTTACAGGGTTTCATTGACAAAGGTGGGCTAAAATTTGCGAGCTTCCTAAATACAGTCCTCAGCTTGTGTAAAGACATATTTAGGAACACAAACAAGTGACAAGTAAGTGATTTCCTCCACTCAGGATCCATGTGCCTGTGGGCCATTCACTAAAAATCCAATCTTTTGGCTTAGGAGAGCAGGGATTGCGGCCCTTCTTCTTGAACAAACGGTGTGGTAACACAGGATATAATTACCACTGGACTGTAACATAGGACATGACTACTACTGCGCTATAAAATAGCATATGAATATAACTGGGCTGTAACACAAAGGAGCACAGAGCGTCACTGTTCAGAACCACTGTGCTCTTTGCCAGTGTGTGTTTCCTTACAGGATAACCAATTTCCCTTTGTGGACCCGCTACCCACCCCCTGGCTTGACACCTTAATTACTCTGCCTGAAACCACAAGATTGACAGGGGTATCTGTAATTGCCAGCATTATTTACAGACTAAACAGTGGATGTTTGTGAGAGAAGGTTATGTTACGTGTATGCTTTCTATATGTAATCATTTTTTCTGTGACCACCAGTAAATAAGTAATTGTGGTACTTCCTACCTGATGCCCCAGGCAAGAGTGCTGGGATTTAGCAGTCAGTTGAGGGAGGGAAGACTAAAAGTGAGCCTGAAAATAATACAGTGGAGAGAAAGCAGAAGAAAGTAAAAATAATGCAATTTTAGGAGTGCTTTCTGGCTCCGGCCTGCTCCATGTCCCCCGACCCACCTGTCCCACCATTGGCGGGAGGGCCTTCAGCCACTCTGCCCCCAAGGTGCAGCTATCATAAAGGATGATAATAATAATAATAATTCTTGCATTTGATACAGTGTCTTCACGTTATCAAGATGTCTAACTGTAATGTGTAATGACTGTGCATTCTGTGGGCAAAGGCAGTAGCTCCCGTACTATCATGACTGGCGTCCCCCAGGGCTCTCTCCTTGGCCCTCTCCTCTTTAATATCTTACATGCTCCTCCTTGGTGACATCATCCGCAGACATGGGGTCAGCTTCCATATGTATGCGGATGACACCTAACTCTATCTCTCTCTGCCTCCACCCTCAACTCCAGGACCACTGCTGTCCTGACAGACTGTCTGTCGGACATCAAGTCCTGGATGAGGACAAATTTCCTACAGTTGAACGTGAATAAGACTGAGGCCCTCCTGATTGGCTCGAGCCAGCGCCTCAGCACCTCAGGCTCTGGTAGCAACAACCTCCATGATTGCACACTTCAACTCTCCAAGCCATCAGGAACCCAGGTGTCTTGTTCGACCCTCAACTGTCTTTTCTTCCCACATCCAAGCCACAAGCTGCTCTGCCTTCCCTCACTTCCGTAACATTGCCCGACTCCACCACTAACCCCTCAGGCCTCTGAAACTCTTGTTCATGCCTTCATCACCTCCAGGCTCGACTATGCAAATGCCCTGCTTGTCGGCCTTCCCAACTCCTCCCTCCACAGGCTGCAGATAATCCAGAACTCTGCAGCCCGTGTCCTATACCTCACCAAACTCTGTGACCCCATCTCCCCCATTCTCGCCCAATTCCATTGGCTCCCTATCCTTCAGAGGATCCAGTTCTAGATATTGGTCCTCACCTGCAAAGCCCTCCATGGTCTCGCCCCACCCTAGCTCGGTGACCTCCTAACTCCCTACCAACCCGCCCGCTCCCTCTGCTCAGCCGGCTCTGGCCTGCTCCACATCCCCCGACCCACCTGCCCCACCATTGGCAGGAGGGCCTTCGGCCACTCTGTCCCCAACCTCTGGAACTCCATTCCCCAATCACTCCGCCTCGCCCCCTCCTTAGCCTCCTTCAAGTCCCGCCTCAAGACCCTCCTCTTCGACCATGCCATCAGCCAACCCCCTTCCTCTCCCTTCTCCCCCCCTGACCCCAGCTCGGGTCTGAAATGCTGCACACTGTCCTCCCGACGTGAAAGGCGCTATGCAAATGTAATCTTGTTGTTGTAACCAATTTGCGCACGTCGCACATTTGTCCCACAAACAGCCACAAAGTGAGTGAACAATTATTATTACAGTTGCAGTATCACTGACAATCACTAATGACACTTTTCTATTGTGGTTATGGAATGAAGACTTAAAATGCGGTCACCAGTTAGTCACATATGTGTAGCATTTGCCTCTGGGTGTTCTCCTAATTCTGCTACTTTTATTTGGGTAGCAGAGATCATGAAATAAATGTTGTTGATGTTTGTGCACATGCCAACATCTGATGCCACCTCACTTTAGACTGTCCAATTGTCTGTCTCACCAATGAGCTGTGGCAGTATAGATGGGTCCTGAATTCTGAGAGAGTCAAGAGACCTAACTAACCTTCAGGGTGGTGGCTGGATAATTGTTACACCAAACCGGTGAGCTGCGGAGCCAGCTGTTTCATTTTTGCTATGTGCAAATTGGGTGCACTATTGGCCAACGAAGCAGTAACCTTTCAGTCCCAGCAATTTTCTGTGAAGTGCTTTGTAATGTTTTGACATTGTAATAATAATAATCCTTGGATTCCATGTAGAGCCTTATCATGTCCCTTCACAGGATGTATTGTAAAATGTACTAGCTGTGTGTATTTTGTATTATAGGCAGTATCTATATATTAGATGCAAGGATTAATATTATTAACCCAGACCCTGAAAATTGAGATTAGGGAAATGAACTGGGAGCCTTTGGAAGTGATATAGAAACTGGAGAGTGAATATAGATATAGAAACTAAGTATACAGTAAACCCCGGCTTACCAGACTCCCGGTATCCAGAATTTATACCTCGCCGGACCGGACCCAAAACAGAAAATTACAAATAGAATTCCCATGTGGCCTGCATACATGTAGACTCCCGCTGGCCACTATCCTATCACTGTCCTCGTTGGCCTTCAGTAGACAAGCAGGGAGATCGATTTGACTCTGTTTGAATCCTGCAGAGGACATACTCTCCATTCGTGTCCTCCTCTCTTCCAACTCTGACCTGATGCTTGCTCCTCACTCTCTCCTTCCCATCATCAGCCACTACCCCCCTGCTCTTTGGAACTCTTTTGCATAATCCCTTTGCCTTGTCCCTTCCCTCCTTGTTTTTAAAACCCTTTTGACCCACTTTGACCCTTAGAGTCTTCTTCCCCTCCTCACAGTTCCCTTTTGTCTTTGTAAAACTGGTCATTGACTTCAGGACTGTTTGTGGGACAGTGCTGTGTGTAAGTTGAATGCCGCGATCACCCAAAAACCCTTTACAGCATATTCTGAGTTTACAGTACGTGAGGCGTACACTTTACAGTTGTGAAGTGCTGTGGGACATCCTTCTGATGTGAAAAGCACTGTATAAAATGCAAGGATTATTTTTAGGATTTTAAAGCACTTTAACGCATTTAGTATACATGAAACGTGCTACAGGAGTGCAAATTGTTGTTTATGTTAGTGCCCTGGCATCCCTCTGCACTAAAGAACTGAAGTGACAGTTGGCTCAGTGCAAAAAGAAATTGTACGCAACACAATGTACACAACATATTGTATGCAACATTCCTGCCTTCACATTTAGGTCCTTAGAGAAAACACATCAAAATGTAAATGCCCATTGTGTACATTTATTCTTATGCACAATTTTCATAAGGCTGTTAGCACATTTTCCTACAGGGGACCTTGTGCATTATAATTTGAAATTCACCCTTTTTTTATTATTATTACCAGAGCTGAAATTACAATGGTTTTAAGGTCATACAAGCAAAGCAGGAGATAGATTACAGTGAACAGGTGTTTGCGTGCAGCCTGCAGAAACTTGCTGCAGGACCTCACTGTGTACCATCTGTCTCCACGCTGATTTTATGATCTCAGTAACCAAATCATATCTGATTGATGTGTTTTTACTTGTAAGGCAGCCTCCAAACATTTTGCTCCAGAAGCCACGCTGTCCCAATGGTGTCATGTCCTATCTGCAAAGAAATTATATTTCCTCATTAGTTTATAACGTATTTTTTATTCCTGCCTCCCAATTTTCTCCACCTTTCCCTTCCTGAAGACGCTGCCTTGTTACAGTTTCATGGGTGCTCTTCAAATCTGGGACCTTGCCCAAGGGGATAGATGAGTATAAGAGAGGGAATTGGGATGTGTGGAGGCTCATATGTAGTATAAATACTGAGACAGACAAGTTTGGCCAAATGGCCTGTTTCTGTGACGATCCATTCTATGTAGAGTGGTTGTACCTGTGAATGGCTTCCTGCAGGCATTTGATTTTACTTTGCTTTTGATGGAGTAAGTGCTCTGAGACTTTAAAAAGAAGGGCACTGTATCATGCTGGTTGTTGTATGGTTCCACAGGTGTTAAGGTCAACGTGCTGCCTGACCAGATGGCAGGCCAACCAAGACATCTTGACATACCCAAATTCCTTCCCCCTCATCCCTCAAACACTCACCAACAAAGTGGAAGTAACAAAGAAGTCTCTTGCTTGTGTTGGGTTGTGGCTTCACACCACTTGAAATAGAAGGCATCTGCAATGCTTTATACTGTTTAAAGCCACCAGTACTATTCAGATGTGTTATGCGCTACAGGCAGAGAGAAATAGTGACCTTAGCGCAGCTGTGAAGTGCTTTTTTCCTTATAATATAAAAGCTTAATGCTGCGCTATTTTTACATTACTAGTTGTCTCTGGAGGTAACTAGTTGGGAAAGTAGATCAGGTGGTTTTGCCTCGTCTGGAAACACCCAACTTGGAGTTGGATCTTCCCGACTGCGGAGATCCAACTGGATACGGAAAAGCTGGAGCTGTGAGTAAGGCTGCTGAAGTTCCTTACCTGCCTGGCTTGTTTTACAATTTCGCTACCGCAACATAACAGCGCAGAAATCCCTTTAATATTGGTTTTCCTGGCTGCAAACGGCTTGACATAATCATCATTCACGTTCTCCCACAAAAACAGTTACTGAACTTTTCAGTATATCCAGGGAAGCGCTCTGAAATACCCTCTCGACGTGAAAAGTGCTGCTCCAAATGTAAGGATTATTATTCTTATTTTATCCGTATGTGACACACACGCACTATCTGAATGACTCAGCGTGACTCAATCTTATCAGCCACTCCACCCCCTCTGTTTCTTTGTTCACTGAAATCAGTTGATTGGGTTCTACAGACAGGTAGGTGTCTGTGAACTCAGTGGTAAGATTCCTGTCAGAGATTAAACAAGGCAAATGCCTGCCCGCGGGCAACATTACAATCTCCATCTTGACATCCATTAGGACAAGTCTTGTTAGCTATTTTATGCTCTAACATCAGCCACTAAATCATAAGACACGTGATCACCCCCCACCCCCCAAACCCCCCCCCCCCCAGCCTTGTATGTTATTTTTGACCATAATCTTTCAGTGTCTCTCTGACACTACGCAAATCATTCTCCAACTCGGGAGCACTTAACACCATAAAGAGAGTGTGGTCAGACTGAAGTAAGGGTTGGCTTGCCAAGGCCAAGAATCTTGGTGAAAGAATAAGGAATTTGTTGTGTGGTTTGTGCGGCAATTATATGGGTTGAGAAGCCCATTGACACGTTCACAGCATCGAGAGCTGGTGAGGCTACATTAGTGTGCAGAATGTGCATCTTCAGCATAGATAGCCACAAGACAACCATCATAATACTTCCATTTGATGTAATAATAATTATAATAATAATCCTTATTTGATATCGCGCCTTATCACGCCTTCGAGACATCTGAAAGCTCTTCACAGAATATACTGTAAAGTGAGTTGACTGTATATTTTGTGGGTGAAACATGGCAGCCAATTGCGTACAGCTGTGTCCCATATAGCGTCTCAAAGTACTTCACATGATTTACTATAAACTGTAGTGACGATGTGTTTTGAAGGTGAACTTGGCAACCAATTTGCCCACAGCAATATCTCACAAACAGCCATGAAGTGAATGTCTAATTTTATTTGGGGGATTGTTGGCCAGGACACCGGAAGAAACTCCCTTTTCTTTTCAAATCATGCACTAAGTGATCCTAATTTCCTACATCTCAAACTTCTAATAATGCCTCTGTTGTATTTGGAATTGACGTGCGTTATCATAAAGTGCATCTCTTACTATTTCCTTCAATACTTACAGCATCTGGGTCCTTCAGTCACACCAACCTGCTGTGCATGTCTCAGATTTGCTCTTGGATTCAGTAAAAAGATTCAATAATACATACAGATATTAGTACAAGTGCATTTTCAAACATATGTGCTGCTCCCCACCCCCCCACCACCATCCCACGCGTAAAATGTATTGGTTTGCTAATCTGTCCTGACATTTATCAGTCCAGCAATGAGCCTTATTAGCTAAACTGACATTCTGTCACCAGGCAACCCCGGCAGCGCGCAGTCAGGGGTGTTCCACGGGGAGACACGAGCTGCTGCAGGGAAAGCCTGTCTGTTAACATATGATATGTCATTAAACATCATAAATAAATAAGGGAACGAGCGGGCACAGTTAGCGGTGCACTAATGAACACGAACCCGGGCAAAGGACACCTGCTGCCGGCCAGTCTGAATGTTAACGTCCACGTGGCCTCAGCCACTGTAATGCAATTAAAGTGCAGCACACTCAGCCAATGTTAGACTCGGCATTGAATTCATCTTTGGTCATCAATGGCCACCAAGCTGATGCAAGGCGAACTGGATGGACCTTGGTCTTCTTTTGTTCAGCAATTTTTATCCCCCATACCCACCCTCCACCCCACGTAGCCTCTGGAACTGCTTCCCTAAACCCCTCCGCCTCACTATCACCCCCTCCCTCTACCTCTCGATCTGTTATTTAACAGCCTCCTGAAATCCTGTCTCTTTAATCATGCCTACACTCACCTTCCTCATCCCCTCCCCTTCTCACTCAGCGTCCAGTACTTTGAGACTTTACGTGAAAGCCGCTGTATAAATGTTGTTAAACACCACCAGACAGTGAAAAAACACACAAGGACTAGGTCGAATGCCAATTCTCTTTCTGTTGACGCAGTTTTGTTTGATGTCCCGCACCCTGACTTGCGTTGTATATTCAGCTGCATATCTGGATATTAATCATACTGTGTCCCTTGTCACAGGCTGCCTCCCTGGCACCACAGTGGCTTCATCTAATCTGCACTGATTTGTTCTAACAGTTGAATGACTGTTATACAGTATGTTTTTCTGTTGATGTCATAACATGACACGCCCTCCATGGATTAAAGATATATAATTTATATTCAATAAATCTACTCCGATAAGATATAGGTGTAAATGCTCCATGGATTGTAGTCTGTTTTGTTGCACGCCAGGGATTGTTCCCACGTTAGCGAGTGATCAGTTCTTACTTGTGCTGTAGTTTCGGAGGGGAGAAGTCTCTAAGCTCCCACAGATCCCTGCACCATGTCCGTCAGTCTCTCTCTGCTGCCGCTCACAGCTTCAGTTAAGCAGCGGGGTTCTCTTTGATCTCTGCATTATCTCACTCTCCCCATTCCCACTGCATTTTTTTGCTGTTGCTGTGGTAATCCTTTCCTCTGCCTTGGAGATTTTCCACCACCCTCCCACCCCATAGATTCTTTCTGTCCAGCACTGGACTGTCACACGTTCTGTGCTTTGCTCTGTATTTTGACCTGTGTGTGAACCACTGTGAGGAGAACAATCAAAGCGTATCCATTTTCAACTATGACAGGGTCTAATTTGCAGCATTTTCTTTCTTTTTAAAATTATGGGCGTCCAATTTTGTTTTCTAACTTTCTCCTTGGTAAAAGCCCTCTCTGCTCCTGGTCTGGCCTCCACCCTGGGTGCTGGTTGCCCTGCAGTATCGCACTCGAGTGGCCGTTGTTTATTTTCATTCTTTGCCAGTCAGTAGAACTCTGGAGCTATAAAGGAACCAGGGGCTGACCTCTGACTAGTTTCCCACTCCCTAACCCTGAGAAGGCCAAGGCCAATTTAGCCTCTCCATGCAGCCCTGCGTAAGAGCAGCAAACTCAGCACAGACTGGGATTGGAACTAGCAAACATCTGGTCCCTGAGCTGTAGCTCTATTTGCTATACCATTGAGCTGCAGCGTTTCTGAACAGGATTTCTGTGAAGAGTCCTGTTAGAATTCTTGCTGAACTTTGGGAACTCCGCTCAAGAGGTAGATTGTGTTGGAGTAGATTTCCCGTGACTCGATGTGATATTTTTTTCCAGTTATCAGGAGTACCCAGGACTTAGGCAGGTTCGCTTATTAGGCAAGTAGCAGAAATGTGAACCCATGATTGGTTTTGGCACGAACTGGCTATCTTCTCTCGTGCTAAAATGGCCGACATGCAGGTGGTCAGGTCACCAGCGAAGTCACTTTCCCTGGGTTGCGCATACACGATATGTGCAAACACGTTTTTGTGCATAGAGTTGGGCAGTGGGCAGGATCTGATGTCAGTGATGGACATTTTGAGGAATTGGCATCAGATGCATTTCTTGCTTGTGCTGTCACACACATGCCAACACTGAGAGACAGTGAAGTGTAGCACAGTACACTTTACCCGCCTTTATCCACCCACCCCACCGCCAGTGTCCTAATCGGGGGGCAGTGGTGGGGTGGTGCAGAATGGATGATTAGGGTCCATTTTTGTAAATTTACTCAAAGCACCAAAATTCACTTCAATCTATCTGCTCAATGGGGCCCATAGACACCAGTCTAACTTCAACTTTTCTGCACACTGGTTCCATCGAGCCTCTCACCTCCTTTCTGTCTGATCATTTGCGCACCCAAAAATCAATCTCACGCAATGCTTCTCTCCACTTGTTCCCTCCAGCCTCCCTTCTCCCACCCATACTATGCTTTTTTTTAATCTTGAGTCTTCCTCGTTGCCTGTTCTGTGTTGGACCACTTCCCACCAGTAATAATTAGTAATTTTTGCATTTGATACCACACCTATAGCGTCAAAACATCATAAAACGCTTCACAAGTGATTTGCGTAAAGTGTTGTGAGTGCGCATTTGTAAATAACCATGGCAGCCATTTCACACACAACAAGGTCCAACAAACAGCCATGAAGTGAATGATCAATTTTATTCAATTTTAATAATAATGATCCTCGCATTGTTGGTCAGGACACTGAGAGAAATTCCCCTCCTTTTTCGAATAGGATCTTCAACATTCGTCTGAGCTGAGAGACTAGACCTTGGCTTTGAAAGAAAGGTCTGTAATTTATATTCTTCAAAGTAAAATGCTATGGAACATTGCAACAATATTCTGGTATATTTGCACCATTAACAGGGATTTCCTGTCTTCATTTACGGCCTGTTGAGATAGTGTTGAAATTTCTCTCATCACCTCACATGTTGTTTGTGATCTGTTCTGACTGGGTGATGTTTCACTCCTCTATTCACATTGTTTTCTTGACTTACACAGATCCATTTTGAAAAGCCTACATGTACGCATTGCGCTTAATGCCACATTTGCTTTCAGTTAGTACTGCTGTTCTGTCATCTGTCCGGCCTAGTTCTGCACTGGATGGAACATTTATCCGCTAGGCCATCTCCATAGGTATTTTATTTTGAATATATTCATTTTAATTTTATTACCTTCTTAGCATTTTAAGTACCCCAAAAGAATTGGAAAATTGGCTTCACTTTGTGTCTGAATTGAAGAATTTTTNCCATAAATCTTCCCAATCATAGATTTGAAATCTTAGTCTTTAAGACTAAGAACACAAAAATAATAATAATCCTCGCATTTGATATCGCGCATTATCACATCGTTGAGATGTCTCACACTTCACAGAATATACTGCAAAGTGAATTGACTGTATATTTTGTGGGCGAAACGCAGCAGCCAATTGCGCACAGCAGTGTCTCACAAAAAGTCGTGGATTGAGTGACTAAATTATTATTATTTTTATTTATGTATTTCTTTTTGAAGGGATGATTACCCCGGAAAGCGATCCACCAATTGACTAACAACCAGGTACCTACTTACTGCTACGTAAACAGCGACGTGTGGAGTTAGGAAACTCGCCTAAGGTATTGCCCTGACCAGGAATCAAACCAAGATCCTCTCGCTTGCAAGGCGAGTGCTCTAAGCAATACCCTACAGGAATCCACTGTAGGTTTTGGGTCCCTGGTTGTTATTCAGAGAGCCTCCTGGACAATAGGCTTGACTATTTGGTGAGGATCGTGTATCAAAGCGCAATTTCAAGACAGACCCCAGGAAATGTTTCTTTGCCCAGAGGATAATTAACAACTGGAACATGTTGTCAGGGAAGGGACTGGGGAGAAATTCCATCTGACTTTAAGCTTACTTTTTTTTCTTAGAATTACAGTGGTGATAATTTTGGACAAATCTTAAATTTAGTCTTAATTTTGAAGATTGTGTTCCTGAAAATTTAAGAACTATCCAATATTTGTACACTCTGAACTACAAAGAAAAAAAAGTCTGATTTAAGTGTCAGCCCAGCTCAGTTGGTTGCACACTTGCCTCAGGGTGACAAGGTTGTAAGTTCAAACCACATGCAGGAAGGTTTGAGCTCACGTAGTTCACTTCATCGCAAGGGGGGTGGGTGGTTCATTGCCAGAGGTGCTGTTCTTCAGATGAGATTTTAAACTGGGGTTGGTCAGTCAGTCAGTCTGTCTGTCTGTTCAAGCGGACATTAAAGATCCCGTAGCACTGTTTGAAAAGAGAAGGGAGCTTCTCTCAGTGTTCTCGTCAACAATCCTCCAGATAGAGGTGTTAGTTGATTCTTTGCTCACTATGCCAAAACAGTGTGAGGCAGCAATAAACAAGGCGAACAGGATGCAGGGCTAGATTGCCAAATCAGATGTTTATATCCCCAGATGTCAAACTCAGGCTGTATCGTCAGACCTCACTTACTGTACTGCATACGGTTTTGGTCACTGTGACATATGGGGGCTGCCAAGGCCCTAGCAATACTGAGTAGGAAAGCAATGAGGTGATCTCCAGTGTTAGAGGAAATGAGCTACGGGCAACAATTAGACAAGCAAGTGCTCTTGAAAAGACAACTCAGGGACCTTGTAGAAATGAATTAAATTTTAAATGAGATTGACAAAGTATCAATACTTTGGAATGCATCAACATAGTAGAACAAGAGGACACAGGTTTAGCGTTGTAATGAGAAATTTCAGGACAGATACCAGGATGTTTTTCTTTACTCAACTGGAACAGGTTGCCAGGAAGGATGGTTGAGGCCAGGATACTAAACTGATTTAAAAAGCAGTTTGATGGGGGGAACAGTAGGGTGAGTGTTCTGGAAGGATGAGATTGGGTGGGTCCAAAGGCCTTCTTCATCCAAACCAACCTTTGGTGACAAAATTGGCCACTCACTTCATGGCTGTTTATGGGACATTTTGTTGTGCGCAAATTGTTTGCATAGCCACTACACTTTACAGAAGTTTTGTGAAGCACTTTGAGACATTATAGGCATTACACTGAATGCTTATTATTATGTCTAGATCGTCTCCATGTGTGTTCCATTAGATGGGAACCTACCAAAGGTGCTCTGACGTGCATTGTGGGAGCAGCGGTAACCTACTGTAGCTGAGCAAAAGTATTTTCTACAACTGCCTTTGTTGATGGTCTGTGGTATATTTAGCAATTGTGCTCAGTCTGATCTTGTTCCTGAATTACAGGCATCAAGTTAATAAAGCTGGACGCTATAATCACTTAGGGAGGGGAGAGAGCATCTCTGCTTTACCACTGTTGTCATTATGAAAAAGGATGTTGTGGTACAGTGGGTTGGCTTAAATACTAAAAAAACACTCTTGACAATAAGCCAAGTTATACAAGCGTAGGAACTAAGAAAACTGAACAGTAATAACCAGAGCAACTCATTCTGTCTTTAGGAGGTTCCTAGTGCTCAGGGCTATTGTGGAATTTGCTAGAAATGTATCAT